CTGCTTACATCAACTTTTATATTCACATATGAATAAAACATGTATGGACTTTCCTCACAAGTTATATTAATATACGAATCTTATAAATATTTTATTAATACATGAATATAAATGTTATATTAATATATTATAAATGTTTTATTAATATATGAATATAACATATGACGATAACTAATACATTTTATTCATATATAAATATAATATGTGACGAAAGATGATGTACAAAAATATTTTAGGTAAGAAAACTTTATAACGTGTTATATTCATATATAAACGATACTTAAACTGTAAAAAAGTTAAGCATACATTTCATTCATAAGTGAATAACAAATGTACTGTAATAAAAACCTTATGCGTTTTTTATTCACTTATGAAAAACAATAACTGAAACTCTAAAAAAATAATTTTTTTATTTTATCTCAACACTATATCAACGTAGATGTCTATTTATAGAGAATAAAAATTTATAAATTTTGATATAATTAAAATAATTTTTCTATAAAAATAACATTCTAAAAAAAAACATGTTTTTTCGTATATTAAGGTAATAATTAGCATACTTCAAGGAAACATGTTTGGTTGAAAAAAACATATATATCCGTTACACATTCTATTGGTACATCTAAGTTTTTTACAGCAAAATAAATGTGTAGCTGAGAATGATTCTCTCATTATCAACTTTTTTTTTCTTAATTGAACCCTCACATTGCATTGCATCATAATATTTATTTCGATCATTATAATATTTCTTTCCATCATTGATGAAATGAAAAAGACAAACCGATACCCAAATGGGATAAATTAGTAAATATAAAGTAACTACATTAGTTAAGAAATGAATTACTTCATTATCAAACGTAACCTTTGGTTTTATAATTGTGATTAAATCTTTACAACAAGACCAAATAAAAACATTAAGTTCATTGTAACCTAGAATTAGATTGTTGAAGTTGTGCCCTTCTTGCTACCTACTTATGGTTTGGCTTTGTCCATATTCAACTTCTTCATATCCAACGACAATTGTCATAATGAGTTAGTACCAACTTCCATTGACAACGCAAGCGTCATTTCGACATCGTACTGAGATTTAGACTCATGCGGGTAAAACCACACAAAAATAATCTTTACATACCCTACCATGAAGGACATTTTATAAATCAAGGGTAATATAATGAACTCATGAACCAAAAAAAACCTTCCTCATAGTCACTAAAAATGTTTTGGTCAATTCTAAGTTTCGCATCATTTCATAGATAATTTTATATTTTATTGTTTACTGGATCATAATTGAAACTGATGTTCGTGATGCATAAATCAATATTTTTTGTCACAATCAAATAAGTATTTTGTAAACTATAAAATTATGAAACTTTTACCCCTACCTCGTGAAGAGAAAAATTAGGTGATTTGTAAAATTTGCTTCATAAGTTTTAGTTTTTGTAGTAGGTTATTATTTAAAAAATTGAAATTAACATGTAATTGTCAAGAATTTTTCTTTTTTTTTTCGCAAAAGGTATTTTATAATTTTTAATGTAAAATCATGAACCAAAGAACCTTCACCCTATCTGGAAAAGAAAAGTTAAAGAGTCAATTTGCCAAATTTTACACCCTTTCGTGGGTTTTATAATACGATAGTGTTTACTAGACTACAATTGAAATTGATGTCATAATACAAAAATCATTTATCTTTTTCCAGCCAAAAGTATATTTGATCCATTATAAGATAAAAGCATAGAGAAAATATTTTCATCCTATCTGTGAATAAATAACTTAAAGTCATTCTGTGAAATTTATGGTACCTTAATGTTCATTAATGGTGATACAAAAATGAAATATTTTTGTACCCAATAAAAGTATTTTATAACTTTTCAGATAAAATCATGAACGAGCAACATTCACACTATCGTCATGAAAAGAAATTATAATCAATTTATAGATTTTGCAACCTCTCATATGGCATGCTAATATTTATTGGACTAACATTGAAACTGACGTTGAATATAAAAAAAAAAAAAAAATTTCCAACCAAAAGATATTTTATAAATTTTAAGATAAAAGCATTAAACAACTGTATTTCTCCTATCCTCGTGAAAAGATATATTGTGGTCGATTCGTGCTGGTACGATTTTGTTTATTAAATTATCATTGAGACTCATAAGAGCAATAAAAAATGATAATTTTTCCCAATAAAAAATGTTTTTATAAATTTTAAGAAGCTTGAATCAAATATATCCATCCTACCTACACCCCCACAAAAGGATAAGCTTTAGTCGATTTGTAAAATTTGCACCATAAGTTAGGGTGCGTTTAGTTGTGAAAAACTGTTTTATTTTTTAAGAAAATGTATATAGAAAAGAGAGTTAAATTTTCATTTTCAGTGTTTAATAAAAACTTGTTTGGTTGGAAACAGTAAAGTTTTCATTTTTCATCTTAGAAATTTTGAAAACTTTAGAAAAGTGTAAAACTCACTTTTTTAACTTAAATACAATTTGAAAAACTGAAAATTTTCATTTTCTTAGAAAACTTTGAAAAACTAAACGAACCAAACGCGTTTTCAAAATTTCCATTTTTCTTGAAAATTTTTCCTAGAAAACTAGCAAAATTTTAACAACCGAGCGCACCCTTAAAATTCCTTAGACAAGGATTGCAATTAGCAAAGGGCATTTGGAGTGGCACGACTAGGGTTTTTTAGGGGTGGCATATGCTACCTTTTAAATTTTCAGACATAAGGTAAATTTTTTGCAAAATTTCTTGGTGTAGTTTTAATTTTCTGACGTGTTGTTCCAAAATCACGTGTGCAACACCTTAGACTTTGTCCTGGTTCCGTCATTTGGCATTTGGGCTAGTGGTACCTGGAGTTGTCGAATACGTGTAGAATAGTGGGTGGGTATAGTCGTTCAAAAAAAATAGACAATGACTGAAAGTGATGTTGGTGATATAAATATCATATTTTGTGTCCCAACTGAAAATGAATTTTATAGATTTTAAAATAAAAGCATGAAACAAAATTATACACTCTAACTTCTTCCTTCTAATATACAAAACTCATGTGGCTAAAGTGTAAAACCAAAAAAATGTAGTGATGAAACATGACAATATATTTTTGGGGCGTAATCTACAAATTTTCTATTAGGTATGGATTATCTTTGTAATTTTTTTTAAACACAACCGTTTTTTGTAAGCACAATGTCCTGTTTTGTAGTTAACGGGACAAATTTTGTAATTTATTTTTCATATACAGGGTTTGCCAACATACAAACATCTTAAACACAGGGACTCTTTTTGTAAAAAAAAAAACCTCACAATGACCTTTTCTATAAATTACAAAATTATAAAGACTAAATATGCTTGAAAACATTTGTGGCAAAAATCTAAAATACAGGGTTTATTATGTAAACTTTCTATTAGGTAGAGATTATTTTTGTAATTTTTAAAAATATTGATCATTTCTATAAAAAAAAATTGTGCTAATATTTGTAATTTATTTTTGATCCAGGGGACTGCAAACATACAAAAGTTAGGTAGGGACCATTTTTATAAATTTTTTTAACCATATGAATCATTTCTATAATAAAAATATACATAGGACCTTTTCTATTAGTTAGAGAGACAATATTGTATACTGGGAAAAATATGCTACCTAACCTATAAACATATAAAAAAATTAGGTAGGGATCATTTTTGTAATTATTTAACCATTTAGATCATTTATGTAATTAAAATATGCGTAAGGACCTTTTCTATTAACTAGAGGGACAATATTTGTGATTTACCTTCTATATTGGTAAAAATATGCTAATATTTGTAATTTATGTTTTATATAGGACCAAACCTACAAACATACAAAAATTAGATAGCGAACATTTTGTAATTTTTTTTAAACATATGGATCGTTTCTATAAAAAGAATACGAATAGAAACCTTTTCTATAAGAGTAAATTGCAAAAATGGTCCCTGTGTTTGGCAAAATTATGCGACTTTGGTCCAAAACGATAGTTTGATGCACCACTGGTCCAAAAATGGATTTTTCCATTGTTTTTGGTCCCTCCCATTCACTTCCGTCCATATACTCCGTTACATGCAATAAAGACCGGGGTATTTTCGTCTTTCCACATACAGGGACCTTTTTTGCAACCTTATTCAAAATAAAAGCAGAGCTACATCACTCTTCCTTCTTCAACTTCACGAGCTTCATACTCTTCCTACTCTGTGTTCACAATTTCTTAGAGATCAAAAATTAAAATGGTGATGTGTTTCTGTGGTAGGGAAGCGGTGGTTCGCACCTCCTGGACATCAGCAAACCCTGGTCGGAGGTTTCTTTCCTGCCCTCAAAAGGTAAGTGTTCGATTTTGCTATTTTACCCTCATTTTGGAAAATCACCCTCATGTTTAGGGTTTATTTTTTTATGTGAAGGGTTCCAGATGCCGATTCTTAGGATGGATTGATCCTCCCATGTGTGCACGATCTATGTTGATAATACCCGGATTATTGAGGAATATCAACAATGTAAACTATCAAGTGGCAAGATTGAAGATGTGTTTGTTTGCAAGTTGGTTACTATTTGTGGTGGTTTGGGTGCTTTTCATTTAGTAATAAGCAATTAGGGACCCTGTAGTTGCATGTAATTTTTGGGTGTTTTTTGTCTTATGAAATTGTAACTAGGGAATGTGGTAGTTTTTGGTATTTGATAATGTAATATCAGTTTAGGGTTATTTTGGACAACTTCAGAAATTTGTAACCTTTTCAAGGATATAATGACAATGTATTGCAGTTATCACCGAATGTTAATGTATATTTGTTGTTTCAGAAAACAGTTCTTATAACCAAAAATGTGTTCCATAAACATGACAACCAACAGTTGGTATAAACCATAAACATCATTCTTCAACAATGACAAAAGGTTGACATTAGTTTCATGACCAAAAGGGCTAAAAGACCAAAATAAAACCATTACAACAAACTAGTTTTAAACCATTACATCCAAATGCACAAAAGTTGTGCTAAACCAAAAGATAAGTTTTTAAACAAAATACACTAATTCCTGCATTGACTGCTACCTCCATTCCCTCCTTGACTGCATCATGCATTCCCTCCTTGACTGCTTCCTGCATTCCCTCCTTCATTTCTTCCTGCATTCCCACCTTGACCCTTGCACGTCCTTGAGTTATGACCCCTATTGTTGCATTTCCCACACCTAACACTAACAAACTTTCTGGTAAGTTTTTCAGGTTCACCTGCACCATGATTTTGCATCTGTTTATCATATTTTTCATCTGCACTTCTCTTTCTCTTGGTGTTAGGTCTCCCAGGTTGATTGTGATGTGGTGGTGGTGTTAATTGAAATGGACAGGTACTTTTTGGCCACATGGCTCTACCCTTTATAGGGTCCACAGTGTAAGAGTAAGCTTCATTCCATGTTTGAAGCCAATACACTTTGTTAACATAAGTGTAAAGCTCCCCAACTTTGTCTCCACTATCAGCCATTTCATGTATTGTAGCTATGGCATGCCTGCATGGAATCCCATTCAATTCCCACCTTCTACATGTACATGACATATTTTTCATGTCAACCACATGCTGGTCATGCCAAGGACCATAAACTTCATACTTTGCAGTCCCATTCCATCTAGCTCTATATTGGACTGAAGCTTCCCTATTTCTCTCAAGTAACTTTGATGCTGTTGGAGTGAGTGGACCTGGAGCTTTGGACATCACTTTCTTCACATTGCAAATCCTCTTCATAAGGTACTGCCTGATGTACTCAAGACAACTTATGATGGGCTTATTCCTACCATGAATAAGCTTACTGTTGAAAACCTCACATAAATTGTTGAGCAATATATCTGATCCTGCTCTGCCTGTATTAAACAAGAAAATTATATGAACTAAACCATATACAATGAGCACTAGTAAAGCTTCACCTAAGTTAGGGAATGTAACCTGAAAAGTGGCTTCTGGCCCAATGGTGAGGGGGGATTTTCTTCAACCACTCAAAAGCATCCTTATCAAACTTGTTAAGTTCATTCATGTAGTGTTCAAATTCTGGTACTGTGGTTGCTATTGCACACTGCCATAAGTGATCTTTATACTCTTTTGTTTTCCATTTTTTCCTCATGTTCTCATAAATATGTCTTAGACAGAATCGATGCTCAGCCTGTGGGTATAGTTGTGCTATAGCAGGTAAGAGTCCCTGTAAAGGATTATTTCACATAATCATTGCAACAATCATATACAAATAAACTATTAGTAATACAAAAAGAAGAAAATAGTACCTTTTGTCTATCACTCATGAAAGTAAAGTTAGAATTTGAGCACAACTCTAAGTCATCTCCCAAGCATTCTAGAAACCATTTCCAGCTACTCATATTTTCAGTCTCAACAATGGCATATGCAAGTGGGTATATGCCGTTGTTTGAATCCAATCCAACTGCTGTGAGTACTTGGCCTGGAAAGGGTCCTTTCATAAAAGCACCATCTAGTCCCAGAATATCTCTTAAACCTGCTTTAAACCCTTTCTTTAATGCCCCTAAGCAAATATACACCCTTTTAAACTGCCTTGTTTCTCTAGTACTGTTAGGCTCATTAACAACCTCAAGCTTCACAGTTGTACCCACATTAGTTGCTTGTAGTTCCATAAGATAATCTCTTAACACCTCGTATTGCTTTGTGTAGTCACCACTCACTTGCTTTGTAGCTGTTGCTTTTGCTCTCTGTACTTTGTGTATGGACACACCAACTTGAAGCCTCTTCTGAACTTGCTCTTGAATGCTTCGAAGGGGTACTGTAGGGTTAGACTCGACCATGTCTAAGATTTCTGCAGATATATACTTCGCAGTGCAAGCCCTAAGTTTTCTAGTTTGAACACAAGTATGTTTGTCCAGTAAAGTTTTCACATACCAATAATCACTATCTTTTGACCGTGAAGTCTGCATTGACCAAGAACAATTTAATTTATTGCCCTTACCTACCCCACTTGCATTTACATTAGGTACATTACCTTTACACACAACCCTAAGCCTTGTTTTGTCGTTTTTCTTGAAGCCAAGATTCCTTCTAGTCTCAATGGCAAGTTTGTTGACTTTGTTCTTAATTTCCTTTTTACTTTTATACTTTTGACCCACTTGAAAAGTAACTGTATGGACTTCACCAAGAGAGCACTTCTTCTCCTTCACCATCTGTTTTAATATTGCTTTCCTTCTTTCATCATCACTATCTTCACCTAATGAGTCCCATTCATCATTATCAATTACTTCAACATCTTCAACATCTTCTGTATCAACAACTTCATTTTCAGTCTCAACACCTTTTCCTCTGTCAACATATTCAACATCTAGATCAACATTCATATAGAAATCACTCATGTCCACCTCAATATCACTTACATAGTTTTCTTCATCTTCAAGAAAATCACTGTCTTCCTCACTCCCTTCACTACCCCCTTCACTACCTCCTTCACCAAGTCCTTCACAAACTCCCTCACTTTCAAATTGAACTTCCCCTAGTCCTGTGCCAAGTTCTGCACCAACACCCATACTCTGATCATTACCATCATTAAAAGTATATTGATCAAAGAAAGGATCAAAGTCTTCAAATTGAAATGGTTGGTCATCAAAGGTATCAAACTCTCTTGTATTTACTTCTTGGTCACCAACATTTGCACCTTGATCATGAACTTCTGTATCTTGATTACCAACAGCTGCACCTTGATCACTAACATTTGCTCCTTCATTACCAATTTCAACATGTGTATCTTGACCACTAACAGTTGCACCTTGCTCACTAATATTTGCACCTTCATTACCAATTTCAACATGTGCATCTTGATCACCAACAGTTGCAGTGTGTTCCAAGTTGAAACACAATTTCTTACTACATGATTGACTCCCATCAACTAACCTCAATCTCTTATTTGAATTGTATTCGGGTGTCTCATATCTTACTAAACACAATTCAAGATTTGGGACATCTTGATCACCAACAGTTGCAGTGGGCACATCATCTGCTATTTCCTCAATTATGACCCTAGGTTTAACTCTTGGAGACATAAAGTATGTAAGTAACTTAGTTTCATTATGTTCAGTGTATACCTTGATGATCTTATGATGTTCAATGTACTGTGCAAGACTAAGTACATCAATATCATTCCCTAGAGCTCTAAGACCAAACTCCAAATCTCCATTTGGCAATTGATAGTGGTAGTAAATGACTGGTGGTACATCATAACCAAGCTTCAGCATCACCTCGTCCAACTCATGCACAGAGAACTCATCCATGTCTACCAAGTCAATGTGGTCTAATTTTCCTTCAATGTAGCTTATCCCTGGGAATTTTGTGAACCTCCCTCCATGATGGAGCTCAATAGTGAACATCGTGGGATATCCTTCTGTAAAAATCATGAACCAAACCAAAAAAACATTACTTTATATGGATTGTAAAAGATTTTTTTTTGTTTCAAAGAAATATGTAAGAAACAGAGTACGTTACCGTAAATTCGGATTGCATCAAAACACTGATTTCTTGGCCTGATTTCCCACATTTGGACCATCCTCGTGGATTCAAACTTACGATTGCGGTTGATGATCAAATGCAAGATTTCAATGAACGATTAGGGTTTTCGATCAACAAGTTGGGTTTAGTGCGTAGAGTAGAGTGAAGGGTCATTAACTGTGTATATCATTCAATATGGCGGTAATCGATGATATGGAGGTGGAAAGACGAAAATACCCCGGTCTTTATTGTATGTAACGGAGTATATGGACGGAAGTGAATGGGAGGGACCAAAAACAATGGAAAAATCCAATTTTGGACCAATGGTGCATCAAACTATCGTTTTGGACCAAAGTCGCATAATTTTGCCAAACACAGGGACCATTTTTGCAATTTTGTCTTCTATAAATTACAAAGACAATATTTGTAACTTATTTTTTATACAGGGACCAAACCTACAAACATACAAAAGTTTTGTGGTCAAAGTAAACATGCCATACAAAGGACCAAAGATGAGAATATTCTAAAGTCATGTGGCACAAATAAAAAACACATACATTAAGGACCAAAGAAGACAATATTTTGAAGCTATGTGGCGTATATCAAAAACACATAAAATGTACTGTTCACTTCGCATTTGAAATTAATATAATGATAATAATAATAATTGTTCATTAAATTGGGATTGAGACTAATACTTGCATTTGAAATTAGTAAGCATAATAATAACTGTTCATTAAATTAGGATAGAGACCAATACATGTGATATAATATTCATATTTTTTGTCCCCACCAAAAATATATTTTATAAAATAAGATAAAAACATGTAGTTATTGTTAATGGACAATGATCCAGACTCAAATAGATGTGATAAAATCACATTTTTAATCCCAACCAAAAAAATATTCTAGAAAAATTATAATCGGACTTCTAAATTTTTGCATCCTTTCGTAGATTTTATGATTCACAAGAATAGAATTAAGACTGATGTCAGCGATACAAAAACTCCAATCAACCTTTCATAAATTTAAAGATAAAACATAAAAGCATGAACCAAAAAATCATTTACCCTACCCTTACAAAAAGATATATTATTTTAAATTTGTACACCCTTTCATACATTTTATGGTATTTTCATTTTCCACATGTATGTAACTTTGTAAATATTTATCCATAATGCATAAAAATTACACTCATTACGGATTTGAATCTTGTTTGACGCCTTGATGGAGTTGAGATTTGGTTTTCGCGTATTCCACAAATATAACCCTTCCATCCAGAAACTGAAAGATTTGTATAATAACAAATTGAATTAAATGCATGAAATTGAAATGTAATTTCATCAATTCTTCATTATAACTTACATACATTTGATATGTAAAAAAAGCTAAAAACTAACCTTTCCATGCATACCCTCAATGGCCTTTTCAGATTCCTCCATTGTTGCATACCGAAGGAAAGCAAAACCTCTTGATCTATTAGCAATCTTATCCATCACCAGATTCACTGAAAGCTTACAAGATTATTGTTATTATTATTATCTCAATTCTCATAACATAATGATTATAAAATATAACAAATGAAATGTAATTTGCGACAGTTTTATACCATCAATGAGCTGCCCAAATGACTGAAAAGCATTACGTAAGCTCTCTTCAGATGTACGAAATGAGAGTCCTGACATTTCAAATAATCTTTACATCAATGGGGGAGATATTAGACTAGGGTTTTAGTGAAAGGAAGTGCAATCCGAAAAGGAGGATTAAATTCGGAATTGAGCGTAGAATCGATTACCAGATTGGAAATGAATTGAAATTGGTTCGGTCTTTATTGCAAATTTTCATTCAAAATCTAAGATAATGAAACAAACAAAATGGAGGGAGAAATTTATCAAAATTTGCAGCTAGAGAGCGAGTTTACCACTGACGAAGAGCTTCGTGGAGTTGGTGAAGGTAGTGGTAGTCTTCTCTGGCTGTGAGGGAGGGACGCATGCGACAATTTGAAGAGACTTTCGGAGTTTGGATGATGTGATTGAAAGCGTGGAAGAGAATGCAGGCGACAGATAACCGCGATTAAGTGATGTACAACATAAGAAAGAAGATGAACGCCATTGTTGTCTGGTTCTCTCGAAGCTATCGCTTCTCCAATAAGATAACGATGGAGATGATGAAGAGCAAACCGTTTGGTTAAAGGGTCCACCCATTGTTGCAAGAGGAGAAAGGGGTTAGGGGTTTGCTGTTAAGCAGTCTCGGGAACAGAGACCCAAATTGTGGAGATGATTGGATGGGCGGGTTTACAAAAGATAATCTTTTACAATGCTCGGGTCGGGTCGGGTTCATCTCAAGATAAATTTCTTTTTCTTTTTTTAATAGTTTAAAGATAATTTTATAATTATAAACTATCGGTTAATGTCATAAATTATATAAATAAGAAGTTATTTGAAAAGAAAATAAATAAATAAATAAATAGGTAACTAACAATTTGTATTTTTATATAAAATATCATTAAAGGTCATAAAAATAATTAGTCACTAGAGAAAAATATAAAATAATTACACTAGAGAAAAATATAAATTTAGACAACTCTTTTAATCTTGTTCCAAGATTTAACCAATTATTAAACAAAAGACCCAAATAGCCACTATTTTCGTAGGGTTGTGAGAAATACAAAATCCCTACGAAAACACAAAACAATAACGTTTGTTTGCCAATTTTTGCACAGTTTTTGGCATTTTGGCATGTCCTTGCGAAAATGAGGATGTCCCCATTCTTTTTCGTAAAAAAATCTTAATTTTAATATTTTAACTTTATTTTTATTTTTTTAAATCAAACTTAAAACTCTTTGAATTCATTATCAAACAGTTAACTAAATTACAAAAACATTTCTAAATAAAATCAAAAACAAATAAATAATCGAAAGAACACGTGAAAAAAAACACCATACTTTCACAGAAAATCTTGTGTTTTCGTGATAAAATACAATGTTTTAGCAAAGAAAATATGGTATTTTCTTAAACCTCCTTGAGAAAATACCAAAATAGCCAAAAACATCCTTTTGCGTTTTCACATGGATTTTCTTATTCTTTTTTCCTTAGTTCCTAGACTAAATCTTGAACAAGCTTTAAAACATTTGTCTAAATTTATCATTTTTTGTATTGTGAATGATGGCTATTTAGGTCTTTTGTTTAATTTTTTGCTAAAACTTGGAACAAGCTTAAAAGATTTGTCTAAATTTGTCATTTACTCTTTATTGGTTGGTTCATCATATATATATGAACTCATTTTTCTCCTTTGTAGTTGTCAAATTCCATATATATTTGTTAAGCCAATATATTGCCATTAAACATGATTGATAGTAGATAATTCACTAACAATTTTTTTAAAAAGGTAGCAATTTTGACACATTTGTAGAGACATATCAATAAAAGTCTTTAACATGTTAAATAGGTAAAATCAAAACGAAAATGTTAAAAACAAATAGCTAATCTTCATGATTCCTGTAGACAAGAAAACACAAGTCATATACTTAAAATGCTGTGTTTCTTTTTTACTTAATACAGAAAGAACAACTTAATAAAAATTTGATAATTTGACTATATAACAAGAAAATTACCTCTAATACAGATTTAGCTTCATTGTCAAATGCTTTACAAAGAATCTCATAGCTCTTTTCTTCTCCAAATACACCATTCTACAAAGAAGGGTATAAAGGTCATGTTACACAAATTATCTTATAAGAAACATAGATTTTACTTAACTAACTCAAAGAGAGTTAGTGTAGAAAAGATTCATACCAGTTGATAAACTTTTGAAGGAGAAATAGCTGATATATTGTACCTAAACATTAAAATTTCAAATTTTTTTCATTACACAATATATATTTTATCAAAAAAATTACTTATATTTCTTTCATTTATCCCTATTACTATTACCTTAGCTTATTCAAGTAAAATTTGATTGCTGAATAGTTCTTTTTTTGCACAGTGAGAACCACAGCACCCATGCCATTCTAGAAAATTTTAAATAAAAGTAAATATATATATATTATTATATTATAACCTTATAATATATAATCATAAAACAAGAATATTGAAAATGGATTGATTACTTTGCGTGCAATTAGCTCAATTAGTAGCATCAAGAATTTTCCAAGTGCTTTTCCTTGATAAGCAGATTCAAGCTGCAATTCATAGACATAAACTACAGGTATTTCTTCTTCAATGGTGAATCTATATTGCACAAATCCAATTATGGATTCTTTTGAATTATCTGTGTGGATAAATATATATAGTGCTTCAGGTGATGACATTTCTCTACGTTTTATTTTTTCCTCTGTGGGCCACTCTTCTCCATATGGGCCCTCCATATTCACCTGTATAACATAAAAAGATATAATCTTTCTAAAAATGTCCATTGTTGCAACAAAATTTCATTCTCAGATGTGTATAAACCAAAAAAGAGTAATACAGGTTATAATTTCTATCACCTTAAGGAGATTTTGGATTTGCTGTTTCAAATTAGATGAGAGTTTATCCCCACGTCCAGATTCAAGGAACAAAGATAAACCTGTTGAAGAAGAGTGCATTAGCAGGAGAACTTAGTGTTGTTCATACAGGAATTGATGGAAATGATTTCAATAGTTGGAAGCTTTTTAACATATTGCTGTTATCTTAAAAAGGAAGACCTTGTTCAAGTTTCTAATTTGACAAGAAATCAGGTACAAATCATCAAATTCTTATTCAATAATGTTAAATGTTAAGGGTCGTTGCCAAAAACAAGGAAAATGGATGCATTTTACTTTGAGAAACATTAAGAAGACGTATCAATGATTCAATGGTGCCTTTGAACTTCCTAGATCGTTACCAATTTCAACCCTAGATCGTTACCAATTTCAAAACTGTTAAAGCTGTTTACAATACTTTATGTCTAACATGGTGATGAGTTGTGTAAGCGAGCTAAATGAAAGAGATGATGCAGACCGTTTTTGTTGTAATGGCGAGAGTGGGGAAACTCAGCGAGATGGTCTTTGTCAGGCGAATAAGCCGATTTCAGAAGCTCGTCGATCCTTTTCTTCTTTTGCATTATCTGTATACATTGAACAAGTGAAATTTGTAGGATTGTACTAGGGTTCTTGTGATTTTGATGGAATGTAATGTAATCATACCTGCATCCTTGTTGCCTTCTTTGTTTTGCTATCCGCCATTGATTTTCCTTCCCCATTCTCCATCCTCTGATACGACGAAGGTTTTCCGACCCTGGAGTTTGAACACCCAAACAAATAAATAAACACAGAGACATAGCGTTCTGCTTCCGTACGACTTGATCAGAAGATGGTGTAGGAATATTAGGGTTTGATTGTTCCAAGGTAAAGTAAGTTTTGATTCTCGATTTAACACTGGTTGATATTTATTTAGAACAAAATTATGTACTTACAATTATAATTAGGGATTAGATCATAGGGATGAGCATCGGAACCTGCCTAAACCGGAACCGAACATGATGGAAAATAGGAACTGAACTGGACCGTTGGTTCTACCGATTTCCTGTTCTTGACGTGTCTTCAATGTTAGAACCAGTTCTCGAGAAATATCGACATACAGTTCTGCTTTTGTTGGTTCTACCGGTTCTCAGTTCCAAAAATCAACAAGAATATCGTCCCGGTCCTTACCTGACCAGTTCCATCGGGTTCCGGTTCCTGTACCGGTTCCGATTCCAGTACCAGTTCCTGCATTTTTTCCAGTCCAAATGTTCATCCCTAGTTCTAAAATGGAACAGAAACCGAAAAATTCGAAACAAGGAAATGAAAATTCAAGGAATCAAGAATTGAACCGATTTATAAATTCAATTTCTATACAGTTTCGGTTCCGATTCGTATATGATGTTATGTGGCTCATTATATTGTCGATGGAGGGACGGACCTCTCTATGTGATCTTGATAAGCCGTCGCGTCAACAAAACAAAAAGGGTCTAATCAAATACACTATGAGGGAAAGCTTCGATAATGTTCCCTATGTCAAAGTCAGAACTTATCATCATAATGCAAATGTGTTAGGAATGAATTGTGGTGTTGGTTTATTGCTTACCTCCTTGTCGAATGGACAAAAGTATTTAAGCTTTTAGGAGAGACTTTGAGTTTCTTCGTATAATCGGGTATTAGTATTGTCCTTAGGGAGCCGTTGTAGTATATTATGAAATAATATACCTTGGGACATTTCCCCCCGATTTTCGGGATACTGTTTTTGTGTACTAGGAAGGTTCATATTCAAGCATGTGTAGCTTTGTAGGTAAATGTGGTTTTCTCAATCTGTTTTGTCTTGTTCGACCTGATCTCATGTCTAGTTGTAATATCAAAAAACATATATCGCTGAAAACAAATAATTATTTGTCATTATTTATGAAATTATAAGTTTTATATTGAACTAAATTTTGATACAAACATTGATATTATCTCATTCGGGTACTTCTCAACGAATTTGTCACCACCCGCTACTTTCGTAGGATTGATGTCTCAATCCATTTATTTCTTCTTTTTTTGTACTTTCCAGTTCTTATCTTTTACTTTCTGAAACAATATTTGCTCATGAACCTCTTATGAATGTTAACATGTTTATGTGTAATCCTAGTAGCACATATAGACAAAAAATCCAAATTGCCCTTTGGTGATAAAAGATAAACATGGCTCGACTTTGACATTTCATCGTAGTTTTATTGATGTGTAAACTACATTAATTCACTTTTACTAGTCCTGAAATCATATACAACCCATCTTATACGGATGATCGAGAGGATGCCTATACAAATGCATGTCGTTTATAGACCATTTGGTCTTTTACACTCATGTGGAACGGGTTGGATGTCCTCATACACATTGATCTAACATTTGGTCTTTTACCTCTAGGTATTCTATATTTCTTAGTGACGCTCTATATTTTTTTTTAATTATATTATATTTTGATTTTTAGGGTTTTCAAAAAATAAAATTTTAGCACCACATATATCATAACTTTGTATCATCATTTTACCATCTTTTTAACATTTATAAAGAAGCAAAGCATGTTATAATCCAATATTTTACACTCACGAAATAGCAAAACAAACTCTCCTCACTATATAATCCGATCTTTTTGTTGTTTCTTGATGCTTCTTGTTTTCTTAAATGCATGGTCATTTCTTTACCATATTTGAACTATCACAACCAAAAGAATCACTTGATCGAATCCAACTTTTTTCTAATATTCTTATATCTTATTCAACACTCTAAACTGATTATTTTGTGCAAACATTATTTCCAACCAATCACACAAAATTACATAAACCTCATTCAACCGAAAACTCATAAACCATCCTATGCCTATACTTCCCACCTGTCTGAACCACTACAGACGGAAAATTCTCTTTATTAACAGAATCCGGAAACCCTTGTGTCTCCAAACACACCCCCGAATGCTTCCCATAAACCGCTCCCCCTTTCCCCACAACCCCACTCACATAATTCCCCGTATAAAATTGCATTCCAGGAGCATCCGTCCACAAATTCAAAACCCTAGAACTCACCGGATCCTTCAATTTCACAGCGCGTTTCAACCCTAATTTCTCTTCCCCGCTATCGAGAACGTAATTATGGTCATACCCTAATCCGATTTCATTAATCGAAGCCCCGATTCTCTTCTCTGTAGTGAAATCGAACGGGGTTTTGGCCACAGGTTTGATTTCGCCGGTTGGGATTAGGGTTTCGTCGACTGGCGTGATGTGGTTTGCGAAGATTTGGGCGGTGTGGTTGAGGATGGTGGTGCCGGAGTTGTGGCCGGCGAGGTTGAAGTAGGTGTGTTGGGCGAGGTTGACCGGAGTTGGTTTGTTTTCCGGTGTGGCTTCCATGGTGAGAGATAATGTTGTTTTTGATGTTAGGGTGTATGTTGCTTTCACGGAAAGGTCTCCTGGGTAACCTGATTCCAAACAAGATTTTGAATTTATTAAAGAAAATTATGTTTTGAAGAGCATAAATACAAAATCCATTTCCATGG